ATGGTGATTAGGTGAGGGAGAGGGGGTACAAGAGTGTTGAGAGAGTTGGGTTGTACCCTCTAAGGTGTGACCCTACACAACCTAGAGTAAGAACATAACAATATGTTTTGACAGATGGGATGGGCGATGAGAAGGCAGCGGGACGAGCCACGGAAGGGCGGCGACAATCGCGTGGGTAAGGGAGGCGAGAGGAGATCGCGTGGGCGACGGGACGGAAAAACGCGGGCGCAAAGGGACAGACTGAAAAGCCTACACTCATAGCTTTCGGATACAACACGACGGACTTTCTGATTAATACATGTGTAGATAACGAGGGCCTAAGTTGAGACATAGCCTATGCCTAGCCTAGCTACTTAGAACTTCCGACGCAAAATTGGTAGTAGTTCACCCCATCCCAACTTGAAACATCAGTTGGGCCCAAATCGCTTGGACAGACTGAAACGATTGCCTGTGCAATTGTCGTGCGGGCTTAGCAATGAGAAGTGCAACACCACACATCAGGAAAATGTCTCAATTTTGGCGGGAACCAATCAAAGGTGTTCGATTTGCACGTCCGCAGCGTTTGAAACGGTACAACTCGTCCCTGCGCCCTTTCAAGTTGGGTTTGGGTTCACTATTTTGCATCTCGGTTTTAAGTCATACAACTATCACATGAATACAACACAATCTGTGTATCCTAAAAAAATGATCAGTTCCATCAAATCCCTTTCAAGTGAACACACTCACTGAGTGAGCAAAGAACGTTCCCGGAAATGATAGGCTGATCAAATTTTGAAGACCCACAGATATGCATTGCTAATGCAATGAATGAATGAGTATAGATGAATACACACACACACAGAAACCCAAAGTCACACCAGAACAAAGTCAAAACAATAACAATAGAAGGTGCAAAACAAGATACAACAAATATAATAGGTAATAATGAATTCTGCGAATCACCACTACTCTTCCCACTTTGTAGACTGAACTTAGCTTCCTGAAAGGTGCAATATGCTTTTCGATGTAGAGGAAATGGGAAAGCAAAACAAGGGAGAATCGGAGAGAGATGACACTGAAAGTGAAAAAGGAGCAGAAGAGAAGGCAGCACATCACCGACACAAGAACAAACCGCCAAACCGAAAAGACGAATACAATACAAAATAACAGAAATCGAAGCAAAACGGAAGGAAAAACACGAGAAAACAGAAACAACAAAAAAGAATCTACAAACCAAGTACTGATCTGCTGCAGCCTATAAAGCAGATTAGTACTTGGCACGAGAAAGAGAGAACTACGTGTGAGTTGTTTCCTGAAAGGCTTGCCAGTCTCTTATAGTCGAATCGAAACCAGATTATCGTGAACTAGTAAAAACAAAACGGTAGTTAGATGAAACCAGAATTCGTAAATAAATTGCTACTCTAACTATACGAATATTTTCGTCGTCAAAGAGACTGAACATGATGCTCATGCTCTGTTGGCAACTCTGAGTAATGCCACAGCCCTTAATACGACTAAGGATTAGCTAAATATGGCAAGCATGTTATGACAACGGTAAAGCATTACGGTTGAAGGAAGGAGAGGGGGAAGAAAAACGGAGAGAAAACTGGAAAGTCAGAGGAGTGAGAGAAAGAGAGAGAGCTAAAACGGATGTGGGCAAAGAAGGTAGAAGGAATGCAAGAAAGAACATCAACACAATTTAGCAGAAACGCTACTTACTAAACGAAAGGAAACAAGAATGAGAAGAAGAAAAATACTGAAAAGAAGAGAAAGAACAAGACGAGAATGAGAGAGGAGTGCTAAAACAACGAACAAACACGTACTCACATCATCACTTCTTTAATACGAAGTAGAAGGCGCATAGGTAGCAGGTGAACTGAAGGAGGGACGTATAAGATGATAAGAAAGAAAGGAAGAAAGAAACCTATTTGAATTGACCGATTTAACAATGAAACGTGAACATGGACAGAATCAATGAGATGGTTTTTAGAGATAAAAACGGACGAAAATCGATCATACCAATAAGTGAGGAGCACTAGTTAGGAACTACTTAGCGATCTAGATGCTAAGGTAAATTGCTGAGGCTTCTAAATTAAAAACAACAGCAACATCGAACGAGAACAGCAACATCGAGATATTATGGGTCGTCATAGCTAATAAGAACGTGCTTAGGTCTAGCAAATAACATCTAACTTAGTTCTAGGGCCTTCTCACCTGGTAGTTAGGTGGAGCATGACTAGCGTGAGAATCTGAAGAGCAAGCTTCAGTAGCGAGAGGAAAAGAGTGGAAAAAGGAAGACACAAACCCTAAGGCAGTGTCAATTAAGTCGCAAAGATTTTAGGAGTTTAAATGTTTGTGCACGCTGTTGTAGCGCAGTTGAGTGAGAGTAGTCTTGGAATCGAGAGGTTGTTAGATCGAATCCCAAAGTAAAGTTTTGCTCATCTCAACCAATCGATTAAAATGTCATTGAGTGTCATGTTAGTTACTCTAAGTTTTGTAAATTTGAGTATGTAACTTATGGAAAATCGCTTCGCAACCCTACGACGACTCGTCGCCTCTTGTTTTTTTTTGTAGAATGTAGGATTTGAACTTGAGCAGAACAGTGTTCGACTTCAGCTGAACGTGAAGTTTTAACCGCGCATTACATTTTCAGGAAGGTCAAATCATGCACCCCGCCGAGCCGCTTGTAGGGGATGTAGGTTACCAGGTATGATTCCGTAGACATCGCGCCACGTCAATATACTGACCGTGGTTTTCGGCGGAGGTTTTATTGCGTCGCGGGGGGGTTCGCGAAATTCGCCACTTGTCGCACTTGCGCAAAACAATACACGTCCGGTTCACTGTACGCGCCCACATTTATGCATTGACTCGAGTCGAGTTCGGAAAAGTTAGGTCGCATTGCCATGTGTTCAAAGGGCAAGTCTTTCGTCACACTGCTGTATCGAAATTGACGAATCTGGTAACTCCCAAAGTTCGAACCTAGAATAAATTCACACACGCCCTAATCGGAACATTTATGGGTGAACTGCGATCTCGACGACCTGACGCGACCATGGGGTTGGCGCATCACGCGCACAAGATTTGTGATTGCTTCCGTGGAGTTCCCAGTGGTAGGCAGTGTTCTAAATCGGTGAAGCTCAGATACCGTCGTTAACCGTGTCATAACGTAATCAACCGTGTTTACGTAATCAACAGCGTCATTCGAGCCCACACTTGTGCCCAAAAACCGCTTCTGCGCGAACCCGCAACCCCCATCGCCTCCCCTTCCCCGACCTTCCCCGACACAGCCGCATCCATTCGCCATACGCACAGCCCTCTCCCGCCATCCCTTCTGACCCACAACGTGCTCCATCCTCTCGTTGCTCTCTCCAGGGATTCCGGAACTCTCGTTATTGTCATGCTTCTCCTTCTGTTGACCTGGATCAGCCATCGATTGGCTGGGGCGACCTTGGAATTGCCTGAATCTTCTTTCATGCTGTTATTCAATGTTCTCAAGATTGCTAGTAGGGAAAGTAGAACGGTTCAGTGAGATGGAGATGTTTTCTAGCGTATCGGTATGTACACAGACAACGGTTGAGCAGGGTTTGTTCCATGACTGCTTAGTAACGGGAGGCTGTTATCTTGTGGAGTAAGTTGTTGCTAACTGGCCGTATTGCTGGTCAGGAACAAGCGTGTTTTCTATGCCGTAAGCTAATCCATAGCAATCGGCGTGTTTTGCTTGAGTTTTCTCATCTTGATCGTCGCTGCATGGTGGTGTGAAGTCCAATTCAACGTTCTGGTAGAAGCTCGCTCGTTGGTTTAGTTCTTAGTCGCCTCAACAACGTGCCTTGTTACTAAATTGATAGCGAGGCCTGGTTTACGTGCCATGTGAAGGCATGGCGTCTTTTTAGCGTTAGCACCTGGCGGTGCGTGGCACCGCGTTCACTCCTCGTCACCTCTTAAGACCGCTTTATCAGATTAAGATATGCTGCTGACTCCATTCAGCGACTTCAAGATCGCAATGTGGACATTATCTGGAATCTTCCAGATCGTTCTGGATCCAAGACGAGCTTATTTCCGGTGAGAATCTCGTGGTTTAATATCTCATTTTAGCTCGTACTAAATTTGATTGGACTCAGTCCAGGTTTTAAATGCAGGCGAATCCGATTAACTCGTGAGCGTTTGTGGGAATGCTACTTTGCAGTTTAGATTTACTGGTCGGACTTGCATGATGGGAGTGTGGGTTTGCATGACCGATGGAACATTAAAATCCGATGATGGGGGTTTTAGTCTTACGCCGTTTTTACTGGCTCATATATTTACGTTGTGCTCATCGTCCTGACGTTGAGATTCGTGTCCGCGTAGGGCTTCGTAAGTTTTGACCGACTTCATGTCTTGTCGTAGTCTTATCTTGCCGCAATCTTTCAAGTCGGCGGATTTACGAACCTAGCCCAGACTTTTTTCTCAACGCAGTTCGCCGCGAGTTAGATCCCCAAAATTGCACGAGTTTCACGAGTTACATTTCCTGCATTGGACGAGTCTCACGGGTTACATCTCCTGCATTGCACGAGTTTTGCGAGTTACATCTCCTGCAATGCACGCGTCGTTTCGAGAGACCTTAACCGCCGACACACACCCACATTTTCAATAGTTTTCCTTCCTTCATATCCCATCCCGCACTTCCCTTCCTCCCCACAACCCTTCCCCCCCCCCCCCCCCCCCCCCCTCCTCCGTCTCCGCCTCTCTTCTCTTTCGTTTCCTCGCCTCGCGTCTCGGTTCTTTTCCGTTCCAGACCTCCGGGAACTCCTGTTGTTTCCCGCTCTTCCAGCGAGCATCCGCTGTGAAACTCCGTCACAAATCGTCTCCCAACGCTCCTGACAAACCCCATCAACGGCTGTTAGGAAGCGATAGTAGGATCTCTCCTGCGGATGGCCCCTCCCCCCCAGTCCCGGTTCAGCGGAAAGTCCGCGGAGAGGCCTAGCGAAAGCGGACTCACCGAGCGACGGAGTTACGAATACGACGGTAGCGGTAACGGCGGTCGCATGGCAGCGTTTAAAGCCATTGACGAACGGTCTGAAGGAAGCTTCAAGGAAGGAAGCGCCAAGGACCGGTTTAGGAGCGCGAAGAGCGTTAAGCGGGGAGCTTCGCCAGCTAGACCCCGGCAGGTGGATGGGATAATGCATGAGTATCAGATGCAGAACGCTGCTGCGCGCCGAGCCGAGGCTTCTAACCACAGCAAGAAGGGAATCGGCGGCACCGTGCTGTTCCTGGTGAGTATTAATCTCGTTCTGAGGCTGCTCGAAATGCACTTGGAGGAGGCAGGTGGATGGGATCATGCATGAGTACCAGATGCAGAACGCTGCTGCGCGCCGCGCAAGGCTCGCCAAACGCGCTGGTTATCAGGTTGAGGAACTCATTCTTAAGCGGAGACGTGCGAGATGAGCTGCGCTCATTTGAGTTACAAGACTTTTGAGGCGCCTTTAAAGTCGCTGGTTATCAAATTGAGGAATTCCTTTTTAAGCGGAGACGTGCAAGATGAGCTGCGGTCATTTGAGTTACAAGATCAAGACCACGTGTATCATTCCAGCTCATATTCCGGAATGACTCAGTTTCCCGTTTTCGTCCTTCCCGTCTCTCTCCCTCTCTCCCATGCTTTTTCCCATCATCTCCACCTTCACCTCCCCCCGTCTCCCCTCTCCCTCCCACACTCCCCTCCTTCCCCTCCACGCTCCCCCCACCTCTCCCGTTACTTTCTTGGCAGATGTTGCTCGTCTGCACGGCAGCAGTAGGCTGGGGAGGCTATCAGTACAAGCAAGCCCTCTCTCTCGAGGTAAGACGGTGATGTGAGCCTTACCCCATCACACCCCTACAAGTTAAGGAGGTAATACATTCCAAGGTAATGAGGCGTTGGGTGAAAAGCTCTCTACGAATGCTGGTGGTATGAGCTTCCCCAATCCCAGCTTCGGCTCTCAGAACTACAGTGCAAAAACACTCACGTTCTCTCCCCCACCTCTCCACCCCCCTCTTTCTCCCCCCCCTTCTCCCCCTTTCCCTCCTTTCCCCCCTTTCTCCTCCCAGCTCCGGCTCTCAGAACTGCAGCGCAAACACACGCGCCTTGCTTCCAAACTGTCAGATGACGTTCCTGCTAGCGTCAGCAGGATCTTCCCCAGCAGCAGCAGCAGCAGCAGCAGATGCGAAGTAGAAGGAGAAGATGGGGCAGTGGAAGGTACCTGCTCCCCCTTCCCCACAGAAAGGTCTGAAGGAGACAGCGCCGGGTGGAGAGAGGGGAGCAGGAGCGAGGAGGAGAGCGATCGCGAGCGTAGAAGCTCAAAGGAGAAGGCAAAGGAGAAATCCAAGGAGAAGAAGGAGGAGGAGGAAGAGGAGGAAGAGGTGAAGGAGGACCAGGAGCTGTTCTGGCGCAGGGTGGCGCTCCTAGCATCCATTCTCTGCCTGGTCCTCCCCATCTTCATCATCCGCAACATCGATGAAGTGGCACAGCTCTTTGGAAGGCGCCCCAAGGCGACAGACGGCCATACGACCGCCGCTGCCTCTTCCTCCTCCTCGTCATCCACCTCTGCTGCGGCGGCGGCTGCTGCTGCTGCTGGTGCGGCTCCTTCAGCGGCGCCTGGGGCGGACGAGGAGGTGTCGATGAGCAAGCGGCTGGCGTATAAGGTCGATGTGCTCTTCTCCATGCACTCCTGGGTCAAGGGCGCTGCCCTCCTCGCCGCCACGCTGCTTCTGTGAGTACCCAACCACCCGACCACACCTTCACCCCCCAGCCTCCTCTCAGCTCAGCTGCGCTTGCACCTGGAGCAGACGAGGAGGTGTTGATGAGCAAGAGGCTGGCGTATAAGGCCGATGTGCTCTTCTCCATGCACTCCTGGGTCAAGGGCGCTGCTCTCCTCGCCGCCACTCTCCTCCTGTACGTACACCTTAACCCCCCAGCCTCCGCTCCTCTACCACCTCGCCTCCTCTCTGCCCTTGTGCCGCTGGAGCGGACGAGGAGGTGTCGATGAGCAAGCGGCTGGCGTATAAGGTTGATGTGCTCTTCTCCATGCACTCGTTCGTGCTGGGTCAAAGGCGCTGCTCTCGCCGCCACTCTCCTCCTGTAAGTACCCACCCCCCGACCACACCTTAACCCCCCAGCCTCCTCTAAGCTGCCCTTGTGCGGCTGGAGCAGAGGAGGAGGTGTCGATGAGCAAGAGGCTGGCGTATAAGGCCGATGTGCTCTTCTCCATGCACTCGTTTGTGCTGGGTGAAAGGCGCTGCTCTCGCTGCCACTCTCCTCCTGTAAGTACCCACCCCCCGACCACACCTTAACCCCCCAGCCTCCTGTACATTTACATACATTTATGTATACATATCTCTCCTTGGGATTTGGGTGAAGAGCTACCCTGAATCTGTCGTATGCCTCTCTCTTCTCCCCCCCTCCCGTCCTACTCCAATCCCACACCAGTATCGCCCTGGGAGGCCTTGCTCTGTACGCCGTTGGATCGAAAGACCGAATGGATCTGGGCGACGCCACGTGGCGGGCGTGGTCCTACGTGGCAGACGCAGGCAACCACGCGGATAGCGAGGGCGTGGGGCCGCGGATCGTGGGCGTGAGCATCAGCATTGGCGGGATGCTGATATTCGCGCTGATGGTGGGGTTGGTGTCGGAGGGCATCTCGGAGAAGGTGGACTCGCTGAAGAAAGGCAAGAGCGACGTGATTGAGAAGAACCACACGCTCATCCTCGGCTGGAGTGACAAGCTGGTGGGTCGTAGGGGATCGGGGAATGGGGAAGGGGTGGTTGGGGCCCACTCTGTCTGTCGTGGGGAATGATTGCGGGAGAAAGAGGAGGGGGAAGGGGGATGTGGGAGGAACGGCAAGAGCGACGTGATTGAGAAGAACCACATGCTCATTTTCGGCTGGAGCGACAAGCTGCTGGATTATGGGTGGGCGGGAGGGGAGAATGGGCATGGGCATGGGCATGGGCATGGGCATGGGTGTGGGCATGAGCATGGGTGTGGGCATGGGCATGGGCATGGGCATGGGCATGGGCATGGGCATGGGCATGGGCATGGGCATGGGCGTGAGCATGAGCATCAGGCATCGCTGCTGAAGCAACTGGCAGTGGCGAACGAGAGCATGGGAGGGGGCGTGGTGTGGTGGAGATGATGATACCGCCTCTGGGCCTATGTTCTTGTGTTAATCGTGTCTTCTCCCTCCCTTTGCCCCTGCTGCCCATCACCCATCAGGCATCGCTGCTGAAGCAACTGGCAGTGGCGAACGAGAGCATGGGAGGCGGCGTGGTGATGGTAATGATTCCGTGTCTTTCTCCCTGTTGTTATGTCAATCCTGCCCCTCCCCTCTCTCCGTTCCTTTGATGCCCATGTCCAACCCACATCAGGCCTCGCTGCTGAAGCAGCTGGCAGTGGCGAATGAGAGCATGGGAGGGGGTGTGGTGGTGGTGATGAGTGAGCGGGAGAAGGAGGAGATGGAGAGCGAGATTCAGAAGATGGAGTTCAACTTCCGAGGGACCACTGTAATCTGCCGGTATGTCCAATGCTGGGTTGGGTGGTGAAGCATGTGTGTATTGGCCACACACATTGCTATGGTGCATACATTCATGGTGATGAGCGAGAGGGAGAAGGAGGAGATGGAGAGCGAGATTCAGAAGATGGAGCTCAACTTCCGAGGCACCACTGTCATCTGCCGGTATGTCGAATGCTGGGTGGTGAGGCATGGTACTGTGTCTATTGGCCACAACACTATGGTACGTGATGATGAGTGAGAGGGTGTGGAGGGGCGGGAGAGCGAGATTCGGATGATTGGAATTTCACTACTGAGGTGTCACTGTTATCTGCCGATATGTTCGCTGGTCTTAAAGAAGGTGTCTGTCTCCATGGCTCGGGCACTCATTGTGCACTCTCCTCTGGCAGAGGCAGAGAACGCGGATGCTGCAGACGCCAGGGCACTCAGGGTGGTGCTGAGCCTCTGTTCTGCTCTCCCTCTCCCTCTCCCTCTCCTTTCTCTCTCCCCACCCCCCCTTCCCTCCGCTCCTCTCCGCTCGCCCCTGGTGTTGGCTGACCTGAAAAAAGTCTCTGTCTCGACTGCCCGGGCGCTGATAGTTCTGGCAGAGGCGGAAAACGCGGATGCTGCAGACGCCAGGGCGCTCAGGGTGGTGCTGAGCCTGATGGGCGTGCGGAGGGGCTGCGTCTGACTCAATTCTTCCTTCTACTCGTTGGCTTTCGTCTCCCTTTCTCCTTTCCCTCGCCCCATGCTCTCCCCCCTCCCCATGCTGCTGCAGCTCCGGCTCGCCCCTGGTGTTGGCTGATCTCAAGAAGGTCTCTGTGTCGACTGCTCGAGCTCTAATCGTGCTGGCGGAAGCAGAGAACGCCGATGCTGCAGACGCCAGGGCGCTCAGGGTGGTGCTGAGTCTCTGTTCCCCTCTCCCCCTTGCTGGCCCCCTTCCCCCTGCTACAGTTCCGGCTCGCCCCTGGTACTGGCTGATCTCAAGAAGGTCTCTGTGTCGACTGCTCGAGCTCTAATCGTGCTTGCGGAAGCAGAGAACGCGGATGCTGCAGACGCCAGGGCGCTCAGGGTGGTGCTGAGCCTGACGGGCGTGCGGGAGGGGCTTCGAGGGCACATTGTGGTGGAGCTGAGCGATATTGACAACCAGCAGCTCGTCAAGGTGAGGAGCGGTGTAGAGCAGTATAGAAGGGTGAGGAGTGGTGAGGAGTGGTGTGGAGTGGTGTGGTGGTGGTGAGGGAGGGGCTGCGGGAGCACATTGTGGTGGAGCTGAGCGATATTGACAACCAGCAGCTGGTGAAGGTGAGGAGCAGTGTAGAGCGGTGAGGAGAGGTGGTGGGAGCACATGGTGGAGACGGTGGTGGCGCACGATGTGATCGGCCGCCTCATGATTCAGTGCGCCCGCCAGCCCGGCCTGGCAGTGCTCAGTGCGCAAACCCACCCCTTCCAACCCTGTTCCCCTCCTCCTAACCGCACAGATGGTGGGGGGGCGCATGGTGGAAACGGTGGTGGCGCACGACGTGAGGTCTAAACCCTCCTCCATTCCCCCTCCCGCCTCCTCCCTCAACCCTCTCTTTTTCCACTCTCCCTCCTCCTAACCGCACAGATGGTGGGGGGACGCATGGTGGAAACGGTGGTGGCGCACGAACGATGTTATTGGCCGCCTCATGATTCAGTGCGCCCGCCAGCCCGGCCTGGCCCAGATCAGCACCCTCACCCCCCTCTCATCCTATTGCTCCTATCTGCTCCCAATCGCCCACAGATGGTGGGGGGGCGGATGGTGGAAACGGTGGTGGCACACGACGTGATCGGGCGCCTCATGATTCAGTGCGCCCGCCAGCCCGGCCTGGCCCAGATCTGGGAGACCCTCCTCGGCTTCGAGAACTGCGAGTTCTACACCAAGCACTGGCCCGAGCTCGTCGGGAAAACCTTTCGGGAGGTCCTGCTGTCCTTTCCTGATGCGGTGCCGTGCGGTTTGAGGGTTTCTGCAAGGACGTATTATGAGAAGAGTACGGAGGCGGTGGGGTTTGAGTTTGCTGGTGGGAGCAGTGTTGGGAGTGAGGATGAGGAGGAGGAAGGGGAGGAGGGGGAGGGAGGAGGGGAGGGCGAGGGGAAGAGGGTGCATAAGGAGCATACCCGGCTGTGGCTCAACCCGGACGATGACTACGTGCTCCAGGTGGGTGGTGCCTCTGTGTCAGATGTTTGTGACTTTTGAGGCGCCTCAAAAGGAGGGCGAGGTGAAGAGGGTGCATAAGGAGCATACGCGGCTGTGGCTCAACCCGGACGATGACTATGTGCTTCAGGTGAGTGTTTTTTTCTTTTTCTGGTTTCAAGTCCTTTGAAATTGAGTGCCTAAAAAGGTGGAGGGCGAGGTGAAGAGGGTGCATAAGGAGCATACGCGGCTGTGGCTCAATCCAGATGATGACTATGTGCTTCAGGTGAGTGGTCTATGTGCTTCAGGTGAGTGGTCTCTGTGCTTCAGGTGAGTGGTCTCTGTGCTTCAGGTGAGTGGTCTCTGTGCTTCAGGTGAATGTTGCCTCTTTCTCAGATGATTGCATGTGCGTCAGGTAGCTCAGGTAGGTGCTCTCTGCTTCAGGTGCTTCAGGTGAGTGCTCTTTGGGCTTCAGGTAAGTGCTTCCTTTATCCTGGTCCGCTCCCCCTGCCCCTGCCCCCCTCCCCCATCCTCGCTGCCTGAGGACTCTGCTTGTGATTGCTGAGAATGATGCCCCTGGCCCCAACACACCCAACACCTGGCCTCCTCCCCCACCTCGCGCCCCCTTCCCCCCACTCCTCACCTCCCCTGCCCCTGCCCCCCTCCCCCATCCCCCCAGCCTGAGGACTCTGTGCTTGTGATTGCAGAGGATGACGACTCCTATGCCCCCGGCCCGCTGCCCGTGGTGCAAGACGCCCCGCTGCCCGACATTGAAACCCCGCCGAAGCTGCCCGAAAAAATCCTGTTCTGCGGCTGGCGGCGCGATATCGACGACATGATCACGGTGAGAAAAGAGAGGGGAGGAGGGGGGAGAGACGAGGGGAAGCAGGAAGGGGGAAGGGAATGGGGGGAGAAGAGTGGGGAGACGAAGGGTTGGAGATGGAGGGGGCTGGCGGCGCGATATCGACGACATGATCACGGTGAGAAAGAGAGGGGAGGAGGGAGAGATGGGAGGGAAGGCGGGGGAAGGGGGGACGGGGGAGGGGAGGATGATGGGTTGGGGAGATGTGGGGGGGAGTGGGGCGGGGGCGCCATATTGACAGTGAGGGGCGGGAAGGGTGTGGGCGGATGGGGGGAAAGGGAGAATGGGGCACGTTGCTGCCCCTCCCCATGCCCTCTCAACTCCCGTGCCTGTCCCCAGTAGACCCTAGTCCCATCCGACCGCCCCCGCCCTCGTCCGGCTGCCCGTTTCCGCCCTAGAGGTTTATTTTTAGGATCCGAGCTGTGGATCTTCTCAGATGTGCCCGTGTGGAGGAACGGGAGGCGCACCTCATTGAGGGCGGGCGGGCGGGCTGAACCCTTCTCTCTCCCTGCAACCTCGAACCCAAAACCTCGAAACACCCGAAGCCCGAAAGCCTAATCCGTACCATGCCCACGCAGGTGCTGGAGGCGTTCTTGGCGCGGGGATCCACGCAGGAGCTGTGGATCTTCTCGCGGAGGCGTTCTTGGCGTTCTTGGATCAGAGCTGTGGATCTTCTCGGACGTGCCAGTAGAGGAGACGGAGGCGCGCCTCATAGAGGGCGGGCTGAACCCTTCTCTCTCCCTGCGACCTCAAACCCAAAACCTGGAAACCCGAAACCCTTATCTATACTCTGCCCATGCATACAGGTGCTAGAGGCGTTTTTAGCCCGGGGCTCAGAGCTGTGGATCTTCTCGGACGTGCCAGTAGAGGAGACGGAGGCGCGCCTCATAGAGGGCGGGCTGAACCCTTCTCTCTCCCTGCGACCTCAAACCCAAAACCTGGAAACCCGAAACCCTTATCTATACTCTGCCCATGCATACAGGTGCTAGAGGCGTTTTTAGCCCGGGGCTCAGAGCTGTGAATCTTCTCGGACGTGCCAGTAGAGGAGACGGAGGCGCGCCTCATAGAGGGCGGGCTGAACCCTTCTCTCTCCCTGCGACCTCAAACCCAAAACCTGGAAACCCGAAACCCTTATCTATACTCTGCCCATGCATACAGGTGCTAGAGGCGTTTTTAGCCCGGGGCTCAGAGCTGTGGATCTTCTCGGACGTGCCCGTGGAGGAGAGGGAGGCGCGCCTCATAGAGGGCGGGCTGAACCCCAGCGAGCTGGAGAACGTGACGCTCGTGCACCGCATGGGGAATGCCGTTATTCGGCGCCATCTGGAGTTTCTTCCCCTCGAAACCTTCGACTCGGTAAGGCTGCTTCTTGTGGGTTCTGACTGAGTCAGCCTCAGGGACTAAGCGTGCGTCGGTGCCTCATAGAGGGCGGGCTGAACCCCAGCGAGCTGGAGAACGTGACTCTCATCTCGTGCACCGCATGGGCAACGCTGTCATCCAGCGCCACCTGGAATTCCTGCCGCTAGAGACCTTTGGTTGGTAGGTGGTACGACTGGTACTATCCGAGCTGACAAAGTGAGGCACCTACCCTATCTCCCAGCGAGCTGGAGAACATGACTCTCATCTCGTGCACCGCATGGGCAACGCTGTCATCCGCCGGCACCTCGAGTTCCTCGTGCACCTAGTGCCCCTCGTCAACTGCAACTTGTGTTCTCCATCACCCTGCTCCTTTTGCCCCATTCCCCTACTTCTAATCCCCATTCCCCTCCGCCTTCCTCCTAGATCCTCATTGTAGCGGACGAGTGGCTGGAGGACTCAATCATCAACTTTGACTCGCGCTATTCCCTATCCTGCCCATATTGCCCCTCCCCTGCTTTCAAGTTTCAAACCTCCCTCTCCCCCCCCCCCCCCCCCTTCAGATCCTCATTGTAGCGGACGAGTGGCTGGAGGACTCAATCATCAACTTTGACTCGCGCTAGCTCTAATCCCCCCCTCCCCTCTTTTCCTTGCTGCCTATTCCCCTCCCCCCCAGATCCTCATTCTAGGACTCGATTATCAGCTGCAACTCTCGCTATCCCTCATCATGTCCCCTCTTCTCCACGCCCACTCTCCTCTTCCCATTCCTCTGCTACTCCCCTCCTCCTCCCTCTCCTCAGATCCTCATCCTCGCGGACGAGGGGCTGGAGGACTCGATTATCAACTGTGACTCGCGCTCCCCTCTATTCCCCATGCTCACTCATTTCTCCCCGACTCCTATACCCTCCCCCTCCCCCCCAGATCCTCATTCTAGCGGACGAGGGCCTGGAGGACTCAATCATCAACAGCGACTCGCTGTCTCTCACCCTGCTCTATTCCCCCTTGCCCTACTTCCGATCCCCCTTCTACACTCGTCTCCTCTCCCCCTCAGATCCTCATCCTCGCGGACGAGGGGCTGGAGGACTCAATCATCAACTGCGACTCGCGCTCCCCTCTATTCCCCATGCTCACTCATTTCTCCCCGACTCCCCTACCCTCTTCCCCCTCAGATCCTCATTCTAGCGGACGAGGGGCTGGAGGACTCGATTATCAACTGCGACTCGCGCTCCCTCGCCACGCTGCTGCTCATCAGAGACATCCAGGTGGGTGTTATCTGGGGGAGGTTGTATGTGGAGGAGGTGCTATCTGTGAGCTAGGCAGAATGGATCGCGTGCATGCCAGCTTCTCTGAGCTCCCTCGCCACGCCGCTGCTCATCAGAGACATCCAGGTGGGTGCTGGTGCTACCTGGGGGAGGGGGGTACTATGGGTGGAAAGGGAGGGGGGTACAGGTGGGTATCCAGCATCTGTTAGGTCCCTCGCCACGCCGCTGCTTATCAGAGACATCCAGGTGGGTGCTATGCGGTGGGAGGTGGCGGGGTGTGATGTGAGGTGGTGCTGCAACTCGTCTATCACCATGACTTGCCTTTTTTCTCTCCCCTCCATCCTCACCCCTCCCCCCTCCCTGCTCCCCCTCCCCTTTCCTCCATGCCCTCTCCTCCATCCCACCTCCTTTCTCTCCCCCTCCGCCCTCCGCCCTCCCCCCAACCCACCAATCCAGTCCAAGCGCATGCTGGCGGGCAGCAAGGGCCACCGCCGCAGCAACTCGAGCATCACGTATCCGCGCCCCACGTCCACGTCCTCGTGGGTGGGGCAGATGCAGCAGGCTCCCTGCTCATCTCATCTCCCACACCCCACACCTCCCTTGTTCCTTTGCCTATCCCTTCCCCCCAACTCTCCCCTCCCCCTGCCCTTCAGTCCAAGCGCATGCCGGCGGGCAGCAAGGGCCACCGGCGCAGCAACTCGAGCATCACGTACCCGCGGCCCACGTCCACGTCCTCGTGGGTGGGGCAGATGCAGCAGGCTCCCTGCTCATCTCATCTCCCACACCCCACACCTCCCTTGTTCCTTTGCCTATCCCTTCCCCCCAACTCTCCCCCCCCCCAACCCGCCAGTCCAAGCGCATGCCGGCGGGCAGCAAGGGCCACCGGCGCAGCAACTCGAGCATAACCTACCCGCGCCCCACGTCCACGTCCTCGTGGGTGGGGCAGATGCAGCAGGCGTCGCAGCAGTCCATCGTCATCTCGGAGATCCTCGACTCGCGCACGCGCTCCCTCGTCTCCGTCTCCAAGATCAGTGATTACGTGCTCAGTAACGAGCTGGTGTCCATGGCTCTAGCGATGGTACGTGCTTGGGTCTTTCGTCTCGTCCTCCTCCCCGTGTCCTCCTCTCCTCGTCTGCTCTCCGCCCCTCCACCTCTCCCCGTCTTCCTCTCCCCGTCTTCCTCTTCCTCCTCTCCACGGGGCAGATGAAGCAGGCGTCGCAGCAGTCCATCGCCATCTCTGAGATCCTCGACTCGCGCACGCGCTCCCTCGTCTCCGTCTCCAAGATTAGTGACTACGTGCTCAGTAATGAGCTGGTGTCTATGGCTCTGGCAATGGTACGTACCTACTTACATCAGCGTTGACTGATGGCGAGGCACTCCCTGGTTACCCTCCACGTGTTCCGTCGTCATCTCGGAGATCCTCGAATCGGTGGGTGCTGGTACGGGTGCTATGGCTCTGGCACTGGCGGGTTTAGGTTTCAGGGTCTTAGCGATGGTGAGACACACCCTCGCTCCTCCAAGCGGCAGTCCATCGTCATCTCTGAGATCCTCAACCCGCACACGCGCTCCCTCGTTTCCGTCTCCAAGATTAGTGACTACGTTCTTAGTAACGAAGGCACTCCCTTGCTCCTCCACTCCTCCACTTGACTCTTAAACGCGCTTCCTTTTGTCCGTCCGTCCTTCTCCAGAATCTGTGAGTATGTGCGCTCCAATGAGCTCGTGTCCATGGCTCTGGCAATGGCGGGTTAAGGGTTTCGGGTTTTTGGGGTTCAGGTTTTCCCTGCTGTTCTCTTGCTCGGCATGCTCCCTTGTGACGGTCCGTCTCCAAGATCAGCGACTATGTGTGCTTTTTTTAAAATTCTCAAAAAACAATGAGCTCGCCTTTAAGGCACTCGCGTTATGGTCATCTTCTTCCCCACCCCCGTCATAATCACCCTCCAACAGGTGGCGGAGGACAGGGAGGTCAACCGCGTTTTGGAGGAGCTTTCCACTCCACCCCCGCTTTAGTCACCTTCTCCTCTCTTCCCCCCCCTCCCCTCTCCCCTCCTCCCCCCTCCCCTCTCCCCTCCTCCCCCCTCCCCTCTCCCCTCCTCCCCCCTCCCCTCTCCCCTCCTCCCCCCTCCCCTCTCCCCTCCTCCCCCCTCCCCTCTCCCCCCTCCCCTCTCCCCCCTCCCCTCGCCCCCCGTTACAATCACCCTTGAACAGGTGGCGGAGGACAGGGAGGTCAACCGCGTTTTGGAGGAGCTATTTTCAGAAGAGGTACGTGGAGGAGAAAAGGGGATGCTAGGTTGGGAGGGGGGAGAATTGAGGGTGGGAGAAGTTGGGGGGGTTGGGGGGAAAACATTGGGTTGAGATTGTTCTGGGAAGAGGGGGGGGTAAGCGGGGAGGACGGGGGAGGATCTGTCCATCTTCCATTTGCACCCCTCTGCATCTCTCTGCACCGCACTGCACCCATCCATGCCAACCCCCCACCCCCCCCCCAGGGCAACGAGATGTACATCCGGCCGGCAGAGCTCTACCTGACGGACGGGGAGGAGCTGTCCTTCTTCCCTCTGCACCCATTTACACCCCTTTGCACCCCTCTGCACCCATCCGTGCCACTCCCTCCACGGCAACGAGATGTACACTCGGCCTGCGCATGGAGATCATCATCGGCTACCGGCTCCCACACCAACCACCGGTGCACTCATTTCCCCCCCTCTGCACCCCTCTCCATCCATCTGCACCCATCCAGGGCAACAAGATATATATCCACCCAGCGGAGCTCTACCTGGCGGACGGGGAGGAGCTGTCCTTCTTTGAAGTGGCGGTGTGGGCCCGCCAGCGCATGGAGATCATCGTTGGCTACCGGCTGTTTACAGAGCTCCCTCTGCACCCCTCTGCACCCCTCTGCACCCATCTGCACCCATCCATTCCCCTCCCTCTAAACCCCTCCAGGGCAAAAAGATGTATATTCGCCCAGCGGAGCTGTATCTCACAGACGGGGAGGAGCTCTCGTTTTTCGAAGTCGCAGTGCGGGCCCGCCAGCACATGGAGATCATCATTTCATCGGCTACTGGCTCTTCACTGAGCTCCCTCTGCACCCCTCTGCACCCATCCATTCCCCTTCTCTCTTCTTTTCAGGGCAACGAGATGTATATCCGCCCAGCCGAGCTCTACCTGACAGATGGCGAGGAGCTCTCGTTTTTCGAAGTGGTGGTGAGAGCACGCCAGCGCATGGAGATCATTATTGGATACCGGCTCTTCACAGAGGACGAAGCAGTTCTGAACCCGCCTGACAAGGCTGAAAGGCGCACCTGGTCGATTCAAGACACCTTCATCGTTCTCTCGTTCAACGAGTAGTCGCGGCTTTTTGTTCTCGGCTTTCCAGGCGCCTCATAGCCGGAGCTTACCATACGAAGCTTACTTGGTGACTTTTGAGTCGACTCAGGAGCTTTCAAAGCTCACAAACTACTATAATCTGAGTACTGTACCGACTAGTAAAGGAGGATGGGGGGTAGTGCTTCTGAACAAGGCCGAAAGATGCGCCTGGTCCATCCAAGACATGTGAGTCATTTTGAAAATCGGCCCGACGGGTAGCAGGCATGGATTGGTACACTATATACATTCTTTTGCTTTTCAATGGAGTGCAGCAGCCAGTGTGCTTGTTTGCTAGCTATCCTGGGGAAGGGAGTGTTTCTGGGTGTAGCCTCCCCTGCGAAATATAGTTGGGTTGGGTTTAGGGTAGTGCTGAAATAAGCAACTATGGGTAGCCTCTTTACGTAGGTGACTTGCACACTAGGTTTCTCCCCTAGGCCTGGACGTCTGACTTACACCCATCTACCCAGTGGTACACAGGAGCAGTGGACAGCAAGTTGTGTGAGGTTGTCTCCGTGAGGTATCTGGCATCGTGTATGGCGGTTCTGTGCGGTGCAACAAAGTGTTCTCTTGGCATTTCTCTCAATAATATTGAATTGCACGTAGTACTACTTGAAGCAATGGATTGCTCATTGTTACTACATTATGGCAAATGTAGCCAGCAGCACTGCTGTCACTCCCCCACTTCATACACCACTTGCTCCTTTCTCCCTCCTCCAGAGCTACCGCCCTCCCCTCCCCTACCACCATCAGCATCAGCATCACCATCAGCATCAAAATCTGAATATTTGGAATCCTTTCGTCCTCTCCCCTCTGCAGCACCATTACCACCACCAGCTCTCCCAACCCTACCTCTTCCATCCTCTCCCGAATTGACGTCAGCCGCTTTCCTATGCATCTGCAGCATCAATCTGCAATCCGCTAGCGCTTTCCCTCTCAGTCCCCCGCATTTGGAGCTTTCTCCGTCATCCATGGATATTGCGGAATAAAGGTAAATCGTACACAGGACCGCTAGGATCGCCATTGTCGTTAGCAGATACTGATGCCGAGCCACCAAGGCTCGGACAGACAGGTCCACTTGTGCCGAGCCTGGCGGCTGCGGCTTCGGACGATATTGGCTCTGGAGCCGGCTTCCGGACCTAATCGCTAGGTTCCCTTGCTGCGGAGATCGTAAGTGACGCTCCGAAGGGAGGAGGTTCGGAGAGGTTGGGAGGAGGGAGGGAGAGAGGGAGGATCCCGGAGGGATGGACGTAGGAAGCTTCGGATCTAAGGGGGGGCTGGTGATTCCGTGTCGCCTATAGACGTCCTTAGAAGCTGTGGAGTATGATGACGTGGCAGTTGGGGAGGTTGGATCGTTGGGATCCGCGTTGCTGGCCGATCGGCTCGCCATGGTTGCGTTGCGAATAACGGACCTCCGTCGACAGCGTCGAAAACCTAAATCAAATCTGGATCCCTAAGTCCAGGAAAAACAGTTTCACGCACGTGAAGAGTAAGGTTGTGCTAGGATGGCCATGTGACCAAGAGCGTGGAATATTGACGGCGGATGAAATGAGAGTGGGCTGGTGGACCGTGGAGGGATGAAAAGGACTCCCAGGGCGTGTTCTAGCTTTGTTCAGCTGGCACCCAACTCGTGTTGACTCCTGCTTTGGCACGGTTGGTCTTGCTGCACCCTCGAGATTACCTTAGGCCCATCCCAAACCCTCAGTACCAGTGTCAACATTTGAAAAAAACCGCTTCAGCTTCGTAACGGGTGTCTTTAGGTACTGTAGAGTGGCTGTACTGTATCTCTAAAGGGCACTTCAGGAATCAGGGAAATGGCTTTTGTGGACATCGAGAATGCCGAGAGCAGATGACATGGGTATTCTCGCAGCGAATCATCTACTATAGCGTATAATATGCTGGACCACCACTGCCAAGCTTCTTTTTCAGTCGAGATTATCTGATACTGTACTGTAAGGATACCCAGAACGATACACAAGAACCAAAACGACACACAAAGCCAATGGTAGTTAGCAGTCACTGTTCGTGGGACTGTCGTTGAGTGCCGTTTTCTCGTCGCCCACAGTCGTATGATAGGACCAACCGCGCGACGCGCCGCATTGGATTCCCAATGCCTAGTGCATGCTATTTCCGATAATAATGGTATTTACGTATTATATTACTGCTAATAGCACTCTGCCTTTTAGTCCAACCCTTCAAACGGCCTTTTCGGTAGTGCATTTGCTATCTGTGCCACGTCGCGTTTACTCCTTGAGCGAAAGCTCTCCATTTGAAGCTTTGCCGAGCCACACCATGCCGAGCTTAGCCAGGCATGGCATCCCCACCGCAAGATTCCCCCAGAGCAGGGTTACCGAGCATCTCCTTCCCTCTCTCCTCACCACGCCTACACTCACCACTCCGAGCCTCATCATTCCGAGCCTCGCCGCTAGGAGCCTCTCCGAGTCTAAAATCCCCGAGCCATGGACCTCTCAGCAGGAGACACAGCGGACGGCTAGGATTGCCCGAGATGGAAACCGAGACGTTGGAAGGGAAGCTGCAGATTTTGGAGATACAGCGACAGCTGAGCGCCGTCCGATGTCAGGCGTTCATGCAAGCCCTAGATTCCGCGATCCTGCTAGATGCTGCTGCTGACGTGGCCGTTGCTGATGCTGACGTGGCTTTTGCTGATGCTGACGCAAGTGTTGTTGCTGCTGATGTGGCTGATGAATCTGCTGCCGTGGGATTCGCGGGAGCAACAGAGCACTCATGCCAGGCGACCGTGCCGGCCGGAGAGAAGGCTTATTCGGGGGAGAAGGCTTATGCAGGGGAGGAGCCTGCATTTGCGGCAGACAAGGCTAAAGCGCCTGACAGGTTTTATACGGCAGAGAAGGTCCATTCAGGAGAGAAGGCCGTGTCGCGGCCGTTGGCGCGTGGAATATCGCTGGATGCGAGTTATAGATGGCGAACAGGGTTGGGTGTGGGGTCGGACATGGGGGATACGGGGATGGGGATGGGAATGGGAATGGGGATGGTGACGGGGATGGGGTTTGATATGAACGTTTTAAGGGACGATTTTGAGAAGAGTGGTGAGAGTGAATGGGTTCCAAAAGGAGCTCCTAGAGGGGATGTTCTTATAACGAGTATAACGAGAGATGCTGGTTTAGCAGCGGATGCCGCTTCTACTGAAGCCACTGTTTCAGCAGCACAGGAGGGCAGGCGAAGAGGGAGGAAAGGAGGGGCAGGAAGAGGAGGAGAAGGAGGAGGAGCAGCGGGAGTAGGGGGAGCAGGAGGAACTGACTTCTCAACCTCCACGTCATCCTCAACGTTCCTGACGTCACCACCCTCTCTGTCCTCGTCATCGGCCACGTCAGCCGCAGCAGAGTTTTCCGCCATGTCAGCAACGCTGCCAATGACGACAGCAGCAGGAAGTGCCAGAGGCAAGCCTACTCGCCGATTAAGAGTCAGAAAAGCGTCTCTAGACTTTAAGGGGGACTGGAGCGTAGGAGGTATGGGAGGGTGGGGGGAGGAAGATGGGGGTAAAGGAGGGCGAGGAGGAGGAGCGAGAGAGGGAGGTGGGGGTGGGGGTTTTGCTGTAAGAGGGTTTGGTATGGGTGGGTTTTCAGGGAGGTCTATGCTCCCCCCTCGCTCCCCCGGGCCAAGAGGGGAATCCCCGTTATTGAGTGCTGCTGCCCCAGTCTCGAGTGTCCCGTTATTGAGTGCTCCACCACAGAGAGGCGGTGCCGTGCCTGCTGCTGCCATACCTGTTGGAAGGGGGCAGGAAGGGGGCGTGGAAGCCAGAACGCTGGACCAATCGGAGGCGAGAGAATCTAGCCAATCAGAGGGGAGAGGGGGCAGCCAATCAGAGGGCAGGGGGAGCAGCCAATCAGAGGGGAGAGGGAGCAGCCAATCAGAAACGAGCGGGGCAAGTGAAAGGGAGGGAGCAGACTGGGGCGGCTTATCTGCTGGACGGGAGAGAAACCGTTTTCCACAGAGCATTCAGCAGCCACTGTATCAGCGCTCGCCACGTCAGCACTCGCCTTATCTGCATTCGCCACGTCAGCATCAAGAGAAAGCACCGTCAGGCCTATCAGGATTGGGTGTGGAGGAACTGGAAAGCCAGAGCAAGCAGTTGTGGCAAGAGGAAAGGGGGTTCTCTTCAGGGACATCAGGCCACACATCTGGCCACCTATCAGACCGCCTATCGGACCGCCTGTCAGATCGCCTATCGGACCGCCTATCGGACCGCCTGTCAGATCGCCTATCGGACCGCCTATCGGACCGCCTATCAGACCGCCTATCAAACCGCTTATCAAACCTTCCACTATCAGGCTCGTCTAGATCGGAATATGAGGAGCAGGAGAAGCAGGTGGGGTGGGAGGAACGGGGGGAGCGGGAGCAACGGGAGCAGCGGGAGGAGCGGGAGGCGCAGGAGGAGAGGGATGAGCGGGAGAAGCAGGTGGAAAGGTTTCGACACATGCTGATTGCTCTGGGTATAGGGAGGCGAGATGGGGGTTTGGGAGGGCATGCGCAGGGGCAAGGGCAGGGGCAGGGGCAGGGGCAGGGGCAGGGGCAGGGGCAGGGGCAGGGGCAGGGGCAGGGGCAGGGGCAGGGGCAGGGGCAGGGGCAGGGGCAGGGGCAGGGGCAGAGGCAGGAGAACAAGCAGGGACAGGAGGAGGTGCCCAGGGGTGAGAAAGAGCAGGAGAAAGGGAAGGTACAACAACCTATCGCCTGGGGTGATGCCATTTGGAATCGTGGTGCTGCTGCTGCTGGTGCCACTTCAGCTGCTGCTGCTTCATCTGCGGCTGCTTCTAGGGGCATACCACCCACCGCTCCACCACAGCAGCAGCAGCAGCAGCAGCAGCAGCAGCAGCAGCAGCAGCAGCAGCAGCAGCAGCAGCAGCAGCAGCAGCAGCAGCAGCAGCAGCAGCAGCAGCAGCAGCAGTGGCGGCAGTGGAGGGATTTCGAGTCCCCGCCTTCATCAGACTATGACACCTCCTCCTCCGATGCCTCCCTCTTCCTGCAGTCCCGCTCCCACGCACGCTCCCTCGCCCGCGCCCAAGCCCGCAGTAAAGCGTGCGCACCTGCTGCCCGTGCACCTTCCACCCATGCACCTGCTACCCATGCACCTGCCACGAGTGTCACTGCTGCTGTTTCTATGGATGCTGTTATGAGCACACCTGCCAGTGCTGCTGCTGGTGCTTCATCCGTGCTACAACCACGCTTTGAGACGTCTCAGAAGAACTCGTCTGCAGCAGCTGCAGTTTCAGCCGTGCTACAGCCGGGTTCCCAACCGTCCCATGTCTCGTCTACCGCAGCTGCTGCTACAGCTGCCATGCTACAACCGCTTTACCAGCCGTTTGCAACCTCGTCTGTAGAGGCTGCTGCTGCAGCTGCCATGCTACAGCCGTGTTACCAAACGCTTCAAACCTCGACTGCAGCTGCAGCTGCTGCTACATCCGAGCTACAACCTCCATCTCGCCTTGCCAGTGGCAGGCAGTTATCTCTGGACTTGGGCAAGAGTAGCAAGTGGGGTGCGGAGGAGTGGAAAGGGGTGCTGGAGGTTTGTGCAGGCGTGGGGGTTGAGAAAGGTTTGGCTGGAAATGGAAATGCGAGCATTTCTCTGGGTGTGGGTTTGCTTGGGCTTGAGAGTTTGGGGCTGGTTGGGAGTGGGGAGAAGGGCGGAGGGGAGGGTGGAGAGAAGGGTGGAGGAGAGGGTGGGGAGAAGGGTGGAGGAGAGAGTGAAGGGAGGGGCAGAGGTAAGGGTGAAGAGAAGGGGGCGCCTACTGCTGCTGGTGGTGGTGCTGCTGCTGTTTCTGGTCCCTTAGCTGCTGTTGCTGGTGCCTCTGCTGCTGCTGCTGGTGCTGCCCCTTCTGCTGCTGCTGCTGCTTCTGTTGCTTCTGCTACCTCTGCCTCTGCTGGTGGTGCTGCCCCTTCTGCTGCTGCTGCTTCTGTTGCTTCTGCTACCTCTGCCTCTGCTGCTGGTGGAAGCGCAGGGGCGTATTTCGAATCCCCGCCATCATCAGACTACGAATCTTCCTCCTCCGATGCCTCTCTCTTCCTCCGCACTCGCTCCCACACCCGCTCCCACACTCTCTCCCACACTCTCTCCCACACTCGCTCCCACAATTGCCCCCCCTCCTCACTTGCCCAGACCCACCCTCCCTTTCCCTCCCATACTCGTACTCAGACCCACACCCACGACCACACTCACTCTCACTCCCACTCCCACACTCACTCTCACTCTCACTCCCACTCCCACACTCACTCTCACTCCCACAGTCACACTCCCTTCCACACTCACACTCAAGGTCGTTCTATTCCCGCACGCCTTTCACTACCTGCTTTAGCCCCGACCGTTCCTTTGAACCAGCATCTCCCAAATCCCGACGGATCAACTGGCATGGACCAGCAACCTCCCAGTCAACCCAGTCAAGCCAGTCAATCCGGGTCAACTGGAGTAAGACGTCCTATAGGGGGCCGTCATGCCCGTTCATTTTCAGGCACACTCACTTACAGCCCTGTAGCACACCTGTCCCCACCATCGCACCCCCCTGCCGCCGCTGCTCCTCCTGCTCCTCCTGTCGCCCCTGCTTCTGCTGCCCCCATTCCATCCGGATCCACAGGGGTTAGAAGACCTGTAGGGGGACGGCATGCACGCTCGTTCTCAGGCACTGTTGCTTACAGCCCTCGCTACAGCCCGACAGCACACCTCTCCCCACCAACTCCCCCCCCTGTTGCTGCCGCTGGTATAGACCAACAGGCCCCCAGCCTCCCCGGGTTATCTGCTACAGACTATTATCCCCCCTGTCAAGCCAGTCAAACCAGTCAAACCAGTCAAGCCAGTCAAGCCAGTCAAGCGAGTCAACTTGGGTCAATTGGAGCAAGACGACCAGTAAGGAGCCGGCATGCTCGCTCTCTCTCCGGCTCTGTTGCTTACAGCCCTCACTCTAGCAGCTTCCCAGGGCTTTCTGGCTCTGGTTGTTCTCCCCATTTCTCCCGCTCACGCACGCATGGGTTTCCGAGCAAACCTCCGATGTCACCCAGCGCGTCGCGGGGTGCTTTGGGTGGTAACCCTTGGGTAGTGGCTAGGGCAGAGGCAGCAGCAGCAGCAACAGGAGGAGGAGGAGCAGGAGCAGAAGCAGCAGGAGTAGGAAGAGGAGCGGGAACAGGAGCAGCAGCAGCAGGAGCAGCAGGAGCAGCAGGAGCAGCAGGAGCAGGAGCAGGAGCGCGAGCAGGGGCAGGAGCAGGAGGAGCGGCAGGATTAGCAAAGCCGATGCTACCTCCAGGCACAGCCTTAACCACAGGAGCAGCAGCAGCACGTGCAGGGGAAGGAGTGGGAGAGAACGGAGGAGTGGGAAGCAGTGCAAAAGGAGCAGGAATGGGTTCTGTGAGATGCAGGCAGCCTGGGCGTTTGATGGCTGCTAGGCGGCTATCTTTGGATTTAAACAACGAAGGGGTGTTTGGGAGAATCGGTTGGGAGGAGTGGACAGGGAAAACCCTCGTTGTGGGTAGGCCCGGGGAGGGAAGGGAAGGTGGTGTGACTAAAGGGAAAGAGGGAGGGGATGGTGGTGTGATTAGAGCGAGGGAGAGAGATGATGGAACTCAGAGGAGGGATGAGGCACAAGCAGAAGAAGTCCTAGATGAAGGGGGAGATAGGGATGGGGACTTACACAGAGGAGGAAGGGAGGAGGGAGGAGGGGGTGGGGAGGGGACTCTAAGGGAGGAGAGAGCAAAGCGTTGCGACAAAAATCCGGAGGTGCTGCAACGAAGCTTCCACAGAGCTTCGGAGGTTCCTGCGGCTGCGGTGTCTCAGCAATCCTGCCATGCAGTTTTGTTGCCTTGTGATTCAGTGGAAAATGCTGCTCCAAACGCCCCTGGCAGCAACACAGGCGATAGAGAGAGTTTGACTGGTTGCGTAACCGACCGCAAGAGCGGCAGAAGAAGTGGCAGCAGCAGTGGCAGTAGCAGCAAGCCCATTCGTCCCCCTGTGAGGCATGCGTCTTTGAATCTGAGGCATGCTGTGAATGAGTGGAGGGAGGGGCAGGAGGGGACGGATGGGAGGGAGGGGAAGGAGGGGAGGGAAGGAGGCAGGGAAGGGAGGAAAGGGAGAGACGGGAGAGAAGGGAGAGAAGGGAGGGAAGGGAGGGAAGGGAGAGAAGGGAGTGGCAGCAAGAGTGGGAGCAAGACTGGAAGCAAGACTGGCAGCAGCAGTGGCAGTAGCAGGTTCCTACGCCCCCCTGTAAGGCATGCCTCGTTGAATCTGAGAGATGCTGTGGATGAGTGGAGGGATGGGCAGGAGGGGAAGGAAAGGAGTGGCAGCAAGGCGGAGAGCAAGAGTGAGAGCAAGGCTGGCAGTGGCAGTAGCAGGCCCATGCGTCCCCCTATAAGGCATGCCTCGTTGAATCTGAGACATGCTGTGGATGAGTGGAGGGATGGTCATGAGGGGAAGGATAAGAGGGAGGTTAGGGACAGGGAGCACGATAGGATGATAGCATGTAAAATCCGTCCTTCCAAGGCTTTGCGCCCCCCTGTTAGGCATGCCTCTCTTGACATGCGGCGAGCGGTGGACGAGTGGAGGGAGGTGCAGGAGGGGAGGGAGGGGAGGGAGGGGAGGGAGGGGAGGGAGGGGAGGGAGGGGAGGGAGGGGAGGGAGGGGAGGGATGGGAGGGAGAGGAGGGAGGGGAGGGAGGAGGACGGGCGGGACAGAATAACTGAGCTGGTTACGAGGGAGTTACAGTGCCAAGGCAGTCGATTGTTTGAGTCGACTCTCGAGTCGACTAAAAGGTTAGAGGGTCAAGGTAACCGGTCTCTTGGGTCGACCCTTGATTCGATTCAAAGGTTAGAGGGTCAAGGTAGCCGGTCTCTTGGGTCGACCCTTGATTCGATTCAAAGGTTAGAGGGTCAAGGTAGCCGGTCTCTTGGGTCGACCCTTGATTCGATTCAAAGGTTAGAGGGTCAAGATAGCCGATCTTTTCCTGAGATTCTGAAGCCACAACAGCCATGGGACTTGGATCTTTCAGATTCCGAGCTTTCAGGGCCGGAACTACCTGGATTAACCCCTGGCGGTGGTGCTCCTGCTGTGGCTGCTGCCTCTGCTGCCTCTGCTGCAAGGACTAGCGTTGACTCGTTTGACTTTCTTGGAAAGCCGGTTGTGAAATCGAGAATCGCGCTGATCAAGGAGAAGAAGAAGAAGGAGGTGGGGCTTGAGATTGTTCATAAAGAGAAGAAAAAAGAAAAGGGGCGGATTGGAAGGCAGAGGTCGCTGGATGCAAGGGGCAGGGGGGCACTGGGAAGAGGAGGGTCGTGGGACTTGGGAGGATGGGATGAGGGAGCACAGAGAGCGGGCACATTGCAAATCGATCCGATTTTGGGCCTTGAGTTGAATCCTGCACGTGATTGGGGTGTTACTTTAGAAGATTTTGAAGAATCGGAGAATCCTGGTTTTAATCTTGGGCGTTTTGAGAAGCCTAAGAACATAGGTTTTGGTCTTGAGCGTTGTCAAGAGGCGTCTCTTATAGGGGATGGTGGTGTTTTGTGGCAGGGCGAGAACGAGGGTCAAGTAGACAGGGGAGCTGGCAGGGGAGGTGAGGGAGGGGAGTGGGGGGAGAGGAGACAGCGAGACAGGCAGCTAGAGAGGCTAGGTCGACGGGGGTCGTTGGATCTCGGCAGGAGCATGGGGGGAGGGGAGGGTGGGAGAGGAGAGGGTAGGGGAGGCGGGCGGTGGGAGGGGGAGAAGAGAGTGGAAGAGTGGCTGTTCAAGTCACAAAGGGATGGTCAGAAGTACCGCCAGTCTTCGGCTGCTTCTACTAGCGGTGCTGCCGCCGCCGCTGCTGCTGCTGCTGCTGCTGCTGCTGGCGCTGGTGCTTCTACTGCTTCTGCTGCTGCTGCGGCTGCCGCTGCTGCTGCTGCCGCTGCTGTTGCGGTAGCTGGTAGGAGCAGCAGCGGTGTCAGATGGACAGAACTTCCTTCGAGTCCCTTGAAGAGCCCACAAACCACTCGTCCCCTTAGTAGCCGATTCGTTAAAAGCCCTTCGTTATCAAGCGCTTCCGTCTCAATCCCGTCGTATAACTTTCTCACCAGTAGCAATCCTGTCAACATTCCCAGAAGCCCGTCCTCTAGAGCCCGGTTCCCTAACTCGCTTAAGAGCCCGCACTTAAGGAGCCCTAGCGCGTTGAGTCCTGGTCTTACCAGCCCGGATTTAAGGAGCCCTGGTCTTAAGGGTTCGCACATAAAAAGCCCTGGTGTTTGTAGCCCGCACTTACGGAGTCCTACTAGTGCTATAAGCCCTCTTTCCAGGAGCCCTTCCACAAGAAGCCCTTGTGCGAAGAGCCCCTTGCGTAGAGTAATGCTGCTAAATGCACCTGAGGTCTCTGCACCTCCTGCTGCTGCTGCCGCTGCTAGTGGTGCTGCTGCTGCTGCTGCTGCTGTTGCTGCTGCTGCTGGTACTGATACCGGTCCTGCTGTTGGTGCTGCTGCTGCTGCTGCTGCTGCTGCTGCTGCTGCTGCTGCTGCTGCTGCTGCTGCTGCTGCTGCTGCTGCTGCTGCTGCTACCAGTGATGCTGCTGGTGGTGGTGGTGCTGCTGCTGCTGCTGAGCTCCTTGAGAAAGCACCTGAGGGGCTGAGCACTCGAAAGAGGCTGGGCGGAAGGCAGGCGTCTCTTGATCCCAGGAGTCTAGAGATAGGGAAGCAGAGGGTGGTGACGATGAGAGAAGGGGAGAGGAGGAGTGGGGAAGTGAGAGGGAGAGGTGGGAAGGAGGAGAGGGGAAGAAGAGGGGAGGAGAGAGGGAGGGGAGGAGAGGTGAGGGTAAGGGGAGGAGAGGAGAGGGGAGGAGGAAGCGAAGTGGTTGATTTGCTGGTGCAGGAGGGGCGGCGGCAGCAGCAGCAGCTGAAGAGGGAGCACCGGGACCAGGAGCAGAGGCAACAGCAGCAGGGAAGGGAGGTTCTAAACGAGGGTAGCAGGGAGGTTACAAACGATGCTAGCCAGGAGGTTACAATCGAGGATATCAGGGATGCTACAAATGAGGATATCAGGGTTGGTGTTGAAGCTGCAAGGGAGGAGGAAACATGGAGGAAACACATTTTCCAACTCCCTTCAGATAGTGATTTCTCAGGGCCGGGAACTCCTCAGGCCACTGCTGCTGCTACGGCTGCTGCTGGTGCAGCCGCTGCTGGCCAGACTTGCGTTGACTCGTTTGACTTTCTGGGAAAGCCGGAGGTGAAGTCGAGAATCGCACAGCTCAAAGAGAAGAAGAAGAAGGAAGTTGGTTTCGAGATTCCTCAAAAAGAGGAGAAGAAGGGGCGGGGCCAAATGCAGAGCAACACTCCGCTACACAAGCAAAGGTCGTTAGACTCTCGAACCAAGGGGGGATTGCCTTTTCTTGCCACTGCTGCTGCTGCTGCTGGAAAGACCTTCATTGACTCGTTTGACTTTCTTGAAAAGCCTGTTGTACGGCAGTCCGTGATGGTCAAGGAGGGAAGATTTAGGCTGCCAATGGAGCGGCACGCTTCCCTGGATTCAAGGAGAGGGCTCCTGGATTTCAGGGAGGATTTGCTGGAATCAGGGGAGGAATTTCTGGATTTCAAGGATGATTCGCTAGATGTGAGGAAATACTCTCCCTTGGATTTCAGCAGAGAATTTCGGGATGCGAGAAACGTTTTGCTGGATACAAGGGAAGAATCTTTAAGCCTCAGGGGGGGATTCCTGGATTTCATGGGGGAGGGAAAGGTTGGTAGGTTGAGGAGGAGGGGTTCGCTTGAAAGTGTGGGGGGCTCTAAGCAACATGCTTACTTAAACGTTGGTGGTGGGGAGGAGTGGGAGGATAGGAGCTTAGGACGAACAGGAGGGGGGCGGAGTCTGGGAAATCGACGGCAGCGGTCGCCGCTTGGGAGGAGGAGGTCGATGGGGGAAGGAGGGCTGGACGCTGCTTTGATTGTGCACGACCGGGATGGTGAGGGTCGAAAGGAGGATAAAGAGTGGGGAAAAGAGGGAGGGGGGCGGAGTTTGGGAAATCGACGGCAGCGATCGCCGCTCGGAAGAAGGAGGTCGATGGGGGGAGGAGTGGGGGGTCTGGGATTGGACGTTGGTACTTTGGGGTTGGGAGTAGACGGTGGGGGCAGTGATGCTGGAAAGGAGGGGAAGGAGTGGGGAAGTGTGAGAGAGAAGCGACATTTGGGTAATCTAAGGTGCTCACCGTTAGGAAGGAGGAGGTCGATGGGGGGAGGAGGGATGGACGCTGCTTCTTTGGGGCTTGGGTTGAACAATGAGGACAATGCGGCTGGACTGGGTGCAAAGGAGTGGGGAGGAGTGGGAGAGAGGAGGCATTCGGGCACTCGAGGGCGCTCACCACTGGGGAGGAGGAGGTCGATGGGGGGAATGGGTGAGGTGGTTAGCTATTTATCGGCTGTGAGTGGGTGGGCTGATGAGGGTTCAAGAACGGGCGAGAGGCGGGGTGGTTCGAGACGAAAGTCTCCTCTGGGGCGGCGGAGGTCGGTGGGGGGGATGGGTGAAGTGGCTGATTTTTTATCGTCTGTGAGTGGGTGGGCTGATGAGGGTTTAGCAGGAACGGGACAGAGGCAGGGTGGTTCGAGGCATAGGTCTTTGCTGGAAAGGAGGAGGTCGATGGGGGGAATGGGGGCGGGAGGGACAGTCGACCCTTATTTATCCACTTCAAATGAAGAGGCTGAAGGTTCAGGAACGGGCGAGAGGCAGGGGGGTCTGAAAGGAAAGTCTTTGCTCGAAAGGAGGAGGTCGATGGGGGGATTGGGGGAGGTGGCTGGTTGTGTGTCAGCTCTGAGTGTGGGCGTTGAGGGTACAGGAAGGGGCAAGAGACAGGGTGGTTCGAGAGGAAGACCTTTCTTAGAAAGGAGGAGGTCAATAGGGGGAATGGGGGGAATGGAGCGGGAAGTTGACCATTTTTTGGCTCTAGATGAAGCGGGTGAAGAGGGTACAAAGACGGGCAAGAGGCAGGGGGGTTCGAGACGAAAGTCTCCTCTGGGGAGGAGGAGGTCGATGGGGGGAATGGAAGGGTTGGTTGAGTCCCATTTATCGGTTCTGAAACAAGCTGGTGAGGAGGGTACAGGAAAGAGTGAAAGGCAGAGGGGTTCGAGACGAAAGTCTCCACTAGGAAGGAGGAGGCCGATGGGGGGGAGAGCGAGTGCTGGTGCTTTCATTTTGGCTGCTGAAGCAAAAGCAGAAACGGCAACTGATTCAGAAGCAGAATCTGGTGCAGGAGGAGCAGGTAACATGCACGGGGAGAGAGGGATGGAAGCCAAGACGACTTTTGAGGCGCCTCAAAAGTCGTCAGGAGGAGCAGGAGCAGGAGCAAAAGCAGGAGCAGGAGCAGGAGCAGGAGCAGGAGCAGGAGCAGGAGGAGGAGGAGCAGGTAAAATGCACGAGGAGAGAGGGACGGAAGGCCGGAGGTTCCTTTGCCCCCCATTCAACTCCCCCTCGCTCGGGTTCTCTACTCTAAACCTTTCCCCAGAGCTCGAATATGATAAGCCGGTTTTGGAGTCGACTCAAAAACAATTCCACTCCCCCTCGCTCGGGTTTTCTACTCTAAACCTTCCCCCAGAGCTCGAATCGGTAGGTTCCCCGCTCTGGGGCAATCCCAGCGGGGATTCCAGGAGAGATCCTTATAGCGAGGCTACTGGAGGGGCTTATAACGAGGCTACTGGAGGGGCTTATAACGAGGCTACTGGTGGGGCTTATAACGAGGCTACTGAAGGGGGATTTCGTCGGGCGAAGTTGTTTGTAGACTCGTCCCGTCGACATTCAGGGGAATCCTTTGAGTCTGATTCTGTGGATTCCCCAGTATGGGGCACCGTGGGGGGGCAGGGTTGTTCTGTCAGGGGGGATGGTGGGGGGAAAGCACATGGGAAGGCTTATAGGCCGGAAGAGCAGCGACGGGTGTGCAGAGAGGTATGCGGTGAGGAGTGCAGATCGAGGTGCGAAGAGGGGTGCAGAGCGGTGCGCAGCGGTGGTGCTAGTGGTGTTAGGGCTGTTTTGGATTCACATGACTCAGAATCGGCCGACTCGCCTGCGTGGGGAACAGTGAGTGGCGGAAGGAGAGTGGGAAGACGAGAAGGAGGAAGCGGAGGCGGGCTTACTTTGAATGTTCTTAAAAGTAATGCAGATGTTGCGGCGGGTGGTAGGGGGCCGAGATGGCCTGTTTTGGATTCGCACGAATCAGAATCGGCCGATTCGCCTGTGTGGGGGACGGTGAGTGGCGGCAGGCGAGGGGGAAGGCGAGAAGGAGGAGGAAGCGGAGGCGGGCTTACAGCAGATGCTGCTACTTTCGAGGCGTCTCGAACGAGCGGTGACGGGAAAGGGGGAATGAGAGGAGGAGGTGGAGGCGGGGTTACAGCAGACGCTGATGCAGTGCGCAACAGGGAACTGCGATGGCCTGTTTTGGATACACACGAGTCAGAATCGTCCGATTCACCTGTGTGGGGGACGGTGAGTGGAGGAAGGAGAGGGGGGAGGACGGGTGAGAAAGGTGATGGTTTTACAGCAGATGCAGTGGGGGATGGCAGGAGAGGGGGAGGGAGAGGTGAGAGGGAGGGTGATTTTACAAGAGATGTAGTGGGGAATGGCAGGAGAGGGGGAGGGATGGGTGAGAGAGGAGATGGTTTTACAGCAGATGTCGTGGATGACGGCAGGAGAGGGGGAGGAGTAACGTCTGATGCTGCAACTGCTGATGCAGCACCTGATGAAACACCTGATTATACATCACCTCATTATCCAACACTTGATGCAACATCTGATGCAACACCGGATGCTGCACCTGATGCAACAGTTAATGCAACACCTGATGCAACACCTTATGCTCCTGACGCTGCACCTGTTGCTGCACCTGAAGCTTTAGCCTCTGCTACCGTGATAGTTGTGAGTTGCTTCGATAGGGTTGGTGGGGAGACAGCGGGGGAGGATGGAAGGTGCGTGCGTGTCAGGAGCGTGGAGGAAGGAGATGAGGGAGGAGGGAAGGGGGGGCGGGGATGGAGGAGAGGAGGGAGGAAGGGTGGAACGAGGGGAGAAAGAAGAGATGAGCACTGAAGCGACAGCTAAGGAGGTGAAGGAGATGGTTGAAATGATGGAGATAGCAGCTGCAGCAGCCAGAGAAATGCGGTCATATCCTGCTGCTTGTGCACTCCGGACTGTTCAAATATCCACTGCTACAACTGCTGCTACCGCTGCTACAGCCAGTGCTGCTACAACCGCTGCTACAGCCGCTGCTACAGCCGCTGCCACAACCGCTGCCACTGGCCATCGTTCTTCTCCTCGCCATCCTCCTCTTCCTCGTCCTCATGACTCTCATCAGCACCCTGTTTCCTCTGAGCGAGGTGGGGAAAATGTCTCCTCCCATCCTCCATCCCCCCCACTGCGCTCCTTCCCCCCATTGTCCCCCACCTCCTATCCCCTCTCCCACCCGCATCCACCTCCCTCTCACCCCTCTCCTCCCTCTCACCCCCCTCCTCCCTCCAACCCCTCTCCTCCCTCCCATCACCGTTCCCTCTTCCGCACACTATCCACCTCTCTCCTCCCCTTCAGGCCCCCCTCCCTCATCCGAACCCTCTCCTCCTCCTTCTCCTCCTCCCCCTCCTCCTCCTCCAAACCTGTCATTCAAAGCTCTCGCTCTGCGTCTTTCCCCGGTCCTGCAATTCCCCCTCTCTCCTCGCCCTCTCCTGTGCCTTCTGCCTCTCCTCCGTTGCCTTCCGAGGCCCCTGCAGTTCCGTCTTCCTCTGGAAGAGGGAACAGCAACAGCAGAGTCAGCAACAGCAGCAGCACCACCGGCAACACCAGTGGCACCAGCACCAGCAACAGCAGCAGCAAAAGCATTGGCAGCAGCACCAGTAGCAGCAGCAGCAGCACCAGCAACAGCGGGAGCAGAAGCATTGGCAGCAGCAGCAGCGGCAGAAGGAGAGCTAGAACACGGAGCAACACCAACACTGCTAGCAACACCAACACTGCAAGCAGCACCATCTCTTCTATCACCACTTCTGCTAACAAACCCGCTTCTAACAATACCTCCACCTCTTCAAACAATATCACCACCAGCAACCGACTTCGTCGAACCTTCTCCTCCTTTTCCTTCCTTACTCAACACCCATCGCCCCTTCCTCCTCTTCTTCCTGTTCCGTTCCCTTCATTCCAATCTGTCACAACACCCTCTGTTACCCCTTCAGAAGTCACAACAATCTATACTCCCAGTACTTCTGGAAATGCCATGCCCACCGGCACAACTCCTGAAGGTTACAGCGTGACTGAGGCTGTTGATGGTGCTACAGCCGCTGCAGCTACAACAGACGCTTCTTCTTTAGCAGCTTCTGCCACAGCCGCCCCAGCTGCTACAGCTGCTGCAACAGCTGGTGCTACAACTGCTTCTGCTGCTACAGCCAGCGCTGCTGCTACAGCCGGCGCTGCTGCTACAGCCGGCGCCAGTCCCTTGTATCGTAGCTTCTCCCTCTCTGCTTCCTTTGCAACCCTCCGCCGCACCACCTCCAGCTCCTCTTTATCGCTCTTCACCTCTCACCTTCCCTCTGGTGCTTCCTCCTCTTCCTCCTCCTCCTCCTCCTCCTCCTCATCACTTCTCCATTCCCGGTCTATCCGACGGAAGTCAGAGAGTTATAAGGAGCGTGCCGCCGTGTCCACACACCAACCTGCTGTCAACCCATCCTCCTTATTACCATCCTCGTTATTACCATCCACATCCCGGCGTGCGTCTATTGATATGCCCGAGCTGGGTGCATCGCTTTTAAGATTGCCGAGCCTTTCTTCTTTGCTCCGCCAATGGAAGGAAGGCAATGTCTCGAGTAGCGACAAAGAGGAGGATTTACCCTAAAATTTCTGAGGACGAAGGTGTCTAGTCAAGCAAGTCTGTCTGTTATGGCTGAAAATTAAGTCCAGCTAGAGTTACGAGATTATGTATATTTTGTGTGTTGTCTGTATGCCATAATGGCACTAAAATTCTAGCAAATGCAAGTGTATGCTTGTACCTTGAACAGAGACCAGGAGGAATCAGCCATCAACAAGGATAATCAATTTTCAAATGCTAATGGTTTTTTTTTTCGATTGATTTTGTAAGGTGTTCGAATCTCTGTCGAAACCTTCGGAATTCTAAACCAGCCAACCTTCTGAAACCGTCTGATGCCGATTTCAACCGTTTCTTTCCTCCGAGGAATAAACATGAGCTACGTTGTTCCTCCCCTCGGTTCCCTCCAATCCCAGTGTTTCTCCTACGTGTTCGACGATTTTTTAGGCGACTACCCGCGAAGCTTAGGCAGGCCGCCAGGAAACGCTTCTAAGCGTGCGTACGAAGCAATATGACCGTTTGTCTTGCGTATGCCACTGGGAAGGTCCCACCTCACATTCCTCTGATCGAGTATACCGCGTGTACTCGCTATAGTGGTACGCAGCGTCACTGTAGCTTAAAATGCAGCACCTTTCCAGCGAGGATGTCCTGGTCGGGTTGTCTACAGGAGAATCGTTATCCAATTTCTAGCAACATCATCGCTGACGTCAGCTTAGGTTCACAGGCTCGGCGGAGAAATGTGACTGTTCCTGCGAGGAAGCGGCGCGTCGTACCAGTTACAGGCCAGGACCGCAGCAGCGCGGATGCGAATGTGATTCCAGCGAGATGTGACTGTCCGTGGTGCTTTCCCGCTGCTGCTTCTTCTCCTGCTACTTCTTCTGCTACTTCTTCTGCTACAGTCTCGAAGAGGACGCTTATTGTAACAGCAGCGACGGGAGGCTCTGTGAGACGAAATCGGGTAACGGAAGGTGATGGAGTTTCGGGAAGGATAGATCGGAGGCATGCTGGTGCTGCAGCGGGAAATGATGGAGGGGAAACAGAGGAAGGACGCGAGCAGGCAGAGGGAGGAGTGGGAAACGGTCGAGAGGGGTATGGAGGCTCGGAGGTCAAAGCAGAGACGGAAGGGGAGAGGAGAGGGGGAGCGAGTGAGGGGGGGGGTGGGGGAGAGGGGAGCGGGGGCTTCGGAGGAACCTCCGGCTTCTCCTGCCGTGGAGCTCGCGGTTCGAATCCTCAAGTGCTACAAACGTGAGTTGTGACGGGTCGAACGTGACTGTAAGGAGGGGAAGAGGGCAGATGAGGCGAGTGAGAGGAGAGGGGGGGAGGGGGGGGGTGGGGGGGTGGCCTCTGACGAGTCTTAACCTTTTCCTGCCGTGGAGCTGGCGGTTCGAATCCTCAAGTGCTACAAAACGTGAGTTGTGACGGGACCCGTATGTCTGGTTGTTCAAGGAAAAACCTGACATTGCATGCTCTAACTTGTCAGTATCCTTTCCCTGTTCCTTTTCCATCCACCTCCCTATCATCTCTTCTCTCCTCATCCCCGCAGGAAATGTCCCTTCCCCCTAGATTTCCTGCTTCCCGTCGTTTTGAGGGGAAATTCCCCACTTATTTCCAGCCTCCTCCTGCTTGATGATCCCCAGATGCAAGAGAATTCAGTCGTGCCTCGTGAGACGTCCACTCACTCCCCTTCCTCTCCTCCTCCACTCCAACCCCACTTTCCCGCCTGCAGGGGAGATTCCCCCTGAATCCCAACATCCTGTCACTCTGAGAAGAAATTCCCCCCTGGATTCCAGCCTCCTGCTGCTGGTTGATGAATCCCAGATGCGGGAGCATTCAGTCATGACTCATCCCGTCCACTCACTCCCCTTCCTCTCCTCCTCCACTCCACCCCCAGGGGAGATCCCCCCTGAATCCCAACATCCTGTCACTCTGAGAAGAAATCCCCCCCTGCATTCCAGCCTCCTCCTGGTCCCTGGTCCCCAGATGCAGGAGCATTCAGTCATGACTCATCCCGGCCACAGTCCACTCACTCCTCCATTCCACCCCCACTTCCCCTCCTGCAGCAGGGGAGATTCCCCCCCTGGATCCCAGCCTCCTGTTACTGTGAGGGGAAATCCTTTCCAGGTTCCAGCCTCTTGCTGGCTGATCCCCAAGTGCAGGAGTATTCAGTCCCTCTGACTCCTCACTCCTCCCTCCCGGGGAGATATTTTGGCGGCGCCTCAAAATCCTTCCCGGGTTCCAGCTTCTTGCTAGTTGATCCCCTTCCCGGGTTCCAGCTTCTTGCTAGTTGATCCCCAAATGCAGGAATATCCAATCACTCTGACTCCTCACTCATCCAGGGAGATTCCCCCAACGGTTCCAGGCTCATGCCGGTTCATCCCCACATGCAGCGAGTATTCAGTCATGGTCTTCCACTCAACCCCCTCCCCTCCTTTCTCCAGTTCAACCCCACTCTCATCCATGCAGAGGAGCTTTCCCCCGTGCCGGTTCATCCCCACGATCCCGGCCTCGTGCCGGTTATCCCCACCTGCAGCGAGTATTCAGTCATGGCACTGCGCAAGTACGGCCTTACTCATCGCCCCCTTCCAATCTGTTCTTCCCCTCGCCCCCCCCTTCCAATTCGGCCCCACTGTCACCCCTGCAGGGGAGATTTCCCCCTGGATCCCAGCCTCGTAACGTTTCGCCCCTCCCCACCTGCAGCGAGTATTCAGTCATGGCACTGTGTAAATATTTATCTCATCCCCTCCCTCCCTCCCTCTCTCTCTTCCTCTCTCATTCCTTCAGGGGAGATTTCCCCCTGGATCCCAGCCTCGTGTCGGTTCGTCCCCACATGCAGCGAGTATTCAGTCATGGCACTGCGCAAGTACGGTCTTCTCAGAGGCGGGATTCTGACTGCATGGAGGTTGTTACGATGTAACCCTTTCGGTGAGGAATCTGTGTGTGTGTGTGTGTGTGTGTGTGTGTGTGTGTGTGTGTGTGTGTGTGTGTGTGTGTGTGTGTGTGTGTGTGTGTGTGTGTGTGTGTGTGTGTGTGTGTGTGTGTGTGTGTGTGTGTGTGTGTGTGTGTGTGTGTGTGTGTGTGTGTGTGTGTGTGTGTGTGTGTGTGTGTGTGTGTGTGTGTGTGTGTGTGTGTGTGTGTGTGTGTGTGTGTGTGTGTGTGTGTGTGTGTGTGTGTGTGTGTGTGTGTGTGTGTGTGTGTGTGTGTGTGTGTGTGTGTGTGTGTGTGTGTGTGTGTGTGTGTGTGTGTGTGTGTGTGTGTGTGTGTGTGTGTGTGTGTGTGTGTGTGTGTGTGTGTGTGTGTGTGTGTGTGTGTGTGTGTGTGTGTGTGTGTGTGTGTGTGTGTGTGTGTGTGTGTGTGTGTGTGTGTGTGTGTGTGTGTGTGTGTGTGTGTGTGTGTGTGTGTGTGTGTGTGTGTGTGTGTGTGTGTGTGTGTGTGTGTGTGTGTGTGTGTGTGTGTGTGTGTGTGTGTGTGTGTGTGTGTGTGTGTGTGTGTGTGTGTGTGTGTGTGTGTGTGTGTGTGTGTGTGTGTGTGTGTGTGTGTGTGTGTGTGTGTGTGTGTGTGTGTGTGTGTGTGTGTGTGTGTGTGTGTGTGTGTGTGTGTGTGTGTGTGTGTGTGTGTGTGTGTGTGTGTGTGTGTGTGTGTGTGTGTGTGTGTGTGTGTGTGTGTGTGTGTGTGTGTGTGTGTGTGTGTGTGTGTGTGTGTGTGTGTGTGTGTGTGTGTGTGTGTGTGTGTGTGTGTGTGTGTGTGTGTGTGTGTGTGTGTGTGTGTGTGTGTGTGTGTGTGTGTGTGTGTGTGTGTGTGTGTGTGTGTGTGTGTGTGTGTGTGTGTGTGTGTGTGTGTGTGTGTGTGTGTGTGTGTGTGTGTGTGTGTGTGTGTGTGTGTGTGTGTGTGTGTGTGTGTGTGTGTGTGTGTGTGTGTGTGTGTGTGTGTGTGTGTGTGTGTGTGTGTGTGTGTGTGTGTGTGTGTGTGTGTGTGTGTGTGTTGTGTGTGTGTGTGTGTGTGTGTGTGTGTGTGTGTGTGTGTGTGTGTGTGTGTGTGTGTGTGTGTGTGTGTGTGTGTGTGTGTGTGTGTGTGTGTGTGTGTGTGTGTGTGTGTGTGTGTGTGTGTGTGTGTGTGTGTGTGTGTGTGTGTGTGTGTGTGTGTGTGTGTGTGTGTGTGTGTGTGTGTGTGTGTGTGTGTGTGTGTGTGTGTGTGTGTGTGTGTGTGTGTGTGTGTGTGTGTGTGTGTGTGTGTGTGTGTGTGTGTGTGTGTGTGTGTGTGTGTGTGTGTGTGTGTGTGTGTGTGTGTGTGTGTGTGTGTGTGTGTGTGTGTGTGTGTGTGTGTGTGTGTGTGTGTGTGTGTGTGTGTGTGTGTGTGTGTGTGTGTGTGTGTGGTGTGTGTGTGTGTGTGTGTGTGTGTGTGTGTGTGTGTGTGTGTGTGTGTGTGTGTGTGTGTGTGTGTGTGTGTGTGTGTGTGTGTGTGTGTGTGTGTGTGTGTGTGTGTGTGTGTGTGTGTGTGTGTGTGTGTGTGTGTGTGTGTGTGTGTGTGTGTGTGTGTGTGTGTGTGTGTGTGTGTGTGTGTGTGTGTGTGTGTGTGTGTGTGTGTGTGTGTGTGTGTGTGTGTGTGTGTGTGTGTGTGTGTGTGTGTGTGTGTGTGTGTGTGTGTGTGTGTGTGTGTGTGTGTGTGTGTGTGTGTGTGTGTGTGTGTGTGTGTGTGTGTGTTTGTGTTTTGGTGGTTATTGTGGTTTGCTGTCGAACAACACGTTTCACTGTAGGTGTCTGTTACGCTACAATTTTTGTCTCTCTCTATTTTTTTGCTACATGTTGGATCAAATTCTGTTTGCAGGTCCATCAGGCTATGATCCTCCGCGTTGGTTTGGGGAGCCTCCCCCGCCTTCTGTATAAATTAGCCTATTCAAGCCATGCCCCACAGCTCTACACTACAATGAACTACCGTATGTGCTCTTGGTAACGTCTTGTCCCTGTTTGCATGTTCCGTGTTTAGCAAGCACTGCTTATGGTGTACACATATTACTGAAGTGACTGTAATGGGTG